GGGAAAGAGATTTGAAATTCAGGGTCTGTCTGCAAGCATAATACCGCTGCTCTTAAAGTTCGTACAACCTAGAGAGCTACAGCTACGGATACAGCTGCATTTCCTGTGGTTGAAGCTATTACTAGTCAACAGCGTGACTGTAGGGTTTCTGGATCTTACCAATTTGCATCTACAAAGCTTGGCCATTACCTTGACTTACCATCCATCTCTTACTTATTTTCGATGTGGTGTCAATACATTTGTTTGTGTGGGTAATATGCTGTAACAGGAGAGATGCTCCCTGTGCATGTACATCAGCAAGCTTTTCCTTGGAGGTGTAAGCATTAAGAAGGATTTAGCTAGAGCTCAGATACAGCTGAACTAGTGGGGGTAGTGCATTACTTGCTGTCCACTGAGCAGTGGCGACTGATTGTTTGCACGCTTACAGTCTGCTGCAAAATGGAAAGAAAAGGCATTGGTAAAACTCATTGATTTAAATGCTTCTTTTACTATGATTTTACCTTACATTTGCAGATTTGTACTCTAGTCAGTTATTGCAGTTCAGCTCATAAGATGAGGTGTTTTAAATTACTTAAACCGCAGTCTTATGTACCAGCATAGAATTTCTCCTGTTACTAGTAAACATAAATGTGAATCCTAACATTTGCTGAAAAAATCTGACTTGGTCATTTGCAACTTACTGTTGTATAAGCAATAATCTCTAGTAGCTCTACTGCCCCTGCTGTCCTCCTTGAAAGAACAGAAGTGGCGAGGACAGAGCTGCTCTTTCCTTACTGCCATATTTCAGGGCTTCCTAGTCCTGTTCTTATAAGGAAACAATACTTTAATAAGGATTAAACCTCCCACAAGCTAGTTTTATTTGAATAGATAGTTGCTATGACAGTTAGTTTTGACTTTCTGGAGACATTTGGAGTACTTTTGAGTTCAGGACAGGTGTTTGTTTTCTTGATTAATTTTTTTTTTCTTTTTTACAAAAGTGGAAAAAATACTTCTTATTGGTATTTTGTTTCTTGAGTTGGCAATACAATTTTCCATGCAAAAGTATTCCTTTGATATTCGTTAAACAGTTTAAGGACTAACTTTTAAATATTTAGCCAGCTGGAACTATTGGATATACTCAATATTTGGTGTTCAGTTAAGCTAATCCTGGGGATTAGTTGTCCTCTAATTTCCTGTCTCTGGTGAGAATGTGATCAGCCTTGTCTCCTTTGAGTCTTCTCCCCCGTGACCGCTGCCACAATTTCTCTAGCAGTTACTTTCTCTGCAGCCTCTGTGTTGGAAATGGCCGTGGTGGTAATGATACTTTTGCAAGTTCCCTTTTCCAGAGGAGGCCAGAATCATGGCAGTATTTTGGACAGGGAACAAAATGATCAGTGTTGCATAATTTAACCCAAAATAACTTTCCACTACCCTCAAACACTGTTCAAGATATTGATGTAAATATTTTGACAGAAACCTATTTCTTGTTTTACAGTTTTAATTAAAAACGACTCTTTAACGAAATCCTGCAAGGGATTCTGTACGTTTGCAGTGAGACTTCTTAACTAATGAAGAGATCAATACCCTCAAGGCTTTCTTCAGCCTTGAAATCAAAGCACCATGTCTAGAGCTTGGCTCTGTATAGTCAGAAAAGTATAAGCGGACTTCAGCCAAGTTTGAGCCCAGTTTTTTTTTTTTACCAACCTCCTTTTCAGCTTGCTTGAGGTGCTGTCATGAGGCATCATGTTGCCAGCCTCAGCCTGGTGCAGCTTTAGAGAATATCCTTTCTGCAGAGCACTCTTCAGGTTCCAAGTTCATGGCACTCTGTTGTCGTGTGGCAGCGCGTTCAATTCTGTGATTTCAAGCAGCTTTGTTTTACTTAATGCTCCCAGTTGCTATGCTTGTGAGAATATGTCTGTCTTTTCCAGAGAGACAAGTATCAAGGTTTCCCAATTGCAAAAAACCCACAACTAAATCCACCCTTCCCAATATAATAACTACATGGTAACTCAAAATGTGACTTGGGAGTGCTCTGAAGTCTCAGAAGCCAGAAATTGACTAAGGAAAGGACAACAGTCATTATAATTCTTTTAATCTCTTGTCTTTTTTCAAATGATGTCATGATTTTTGTATTTTGATTTGTGAATTTTAATACTTGAGATTTCCAGTACTCATATTTCTTCACAGCCAGAGGGAGCGTTTTAAACGCTTTGTTTTTTTCCCCTCTGATCAGATAAATACACAAGCAGAGAAGAAATGGCATTGTTTCTTCTTACTGCTTCATCTTCCACAATGACTGCTGGCTCTCAGTAATTATTGACACCTGTTGCACAGAAGATGTATAATCCCTATACATTAAGATTCCTTCCTTATATATAGACCTAAGACCTTGTGTATCCTTCACAATCCTTATATATAAGACAATAAACCATGACATGCTTTGTTCCTCAGGTTTTTAGATTTCTATCTCTAGAAATAAAGCAGCTTCCCTGTGCTTATAACGAAGCTGGTAGCAGGATTTTTTATTAAAGTTGCTTACCACTTCCAATTTTAAGATGCTGCTTTCAGTTGTTTAAAAATTTCTCAGGTTTTGGCTGCTTAAGCCAAAATTTTCCATGCAGAATTTGCATCACATTGAATTGGTTGGAAAAATTCAGCAGAAGCAGTCTGTTTCAGGAAATTTTAGGGGAAAGAAGTTACCTTGATGATACTGAAAGTTTCACATCCATGTGGTTGAAATGATTGGGCATGTCCATGCTTTGGATCAAGGACTTGATGGTTGGCAGGTGAGCAGATGCTGGGTATGAGAGAGAGAGACAGCTATGACCTGCTTTCTGCATGGTGGTGGTTTGGATATGGAAGCCACGTAGGTAGACTGCAAGCACAGGAGCAGAAGGGACTGCAGACAATAAAGCCATGGCATTTCAAACTGACCTTCCCGTGCATGTGCACCATGACGCGTTTTAAGTGATTGTCTTGAATTTTACTATGTTTTTTCCCCCATTTCTTGCCTATTAAAAGGAAAAAAAAGATGACCAGTGGCCTGCACTGCTAACTGCAAAGGGATTGAGCTAACAGTTTGCTTTCACTTGAGAAGTTCTGGGATGTCAGAGTAATTGCCTTTCAAGTCCGTGCAATACACATCTCGTGTAGATCCCTGCACCTGTTTCATGCTTGTCAGTAGGCCATCACTTCTTTTCCTTATAGGTTCAGGGAATGTGTTGAAGTGTGAGATGGGATCCTGCTGCGTGTCCAAGCCTTGTCTAGCTAGGTGGTACTTACAGAACTGGGGAGGGTTTTGAGGGTGCCTGCCAAATTGCATCTGCTAGAGCAGGAGAACCAAGTGAATCAGTTGATTAAAAATAAAGGGATGGATCTACCCCTTCAAAGAAATGCTGCCTGGATTGCAGGTAGTTTCTGCCTTTTGGCTTCATATCTCTGGCACACCTTGTGGACTGTGTTAAGCTGTGGAAGAAAGAAAAAGATCCCTGCATCTGGAAATACACAGGTAGTAGATATACTTTTAATAAGTTAGATATATTTCACTGATCAGCATTGATATTGTCTAACTGGATGAATGCTGCTTGTGTTCAGATGTAGCCAGTGAAACCTATCTGTTCTTTCGTGGAGCGGCACATATACCTTTCTTTTACGAGAGTCTCTCCGGCAATAAATCCTGACAGTTGATGTGCTTTTCAGGAAGGTGCATCTCTCGCCTTGCTGTCGGAGTGCTTTGTTTTGCCGTTAAAACATGATGCATCCTCTAGTGACCTCTACTGGGTGCAGTACAAGGGACTGCCGCAAGGTAACCCGCTGTGGCCACAGTGGGAGCAAGGTTGCCAGCCCTTCTCCATGTGGGACTCTGAGATCCCCAGTAAGGCTCATGCCCGTTACTTTCCCGCTGTTGTCGTCAAGTGAACATAGCATTATCTTCCCAAAGAAGTAGCATCGCCAGTAGCATCACATGACTAGATGTTGCAGTCAAAGATAGTATGTATGTTTGCTGTGATTTCCCAGAAGGTAATGCAGTTCTGTGATGACCCATCATGTTTTAACTCAAGAGCTTTTAGAAGAATTCTTCTCAGAAAACGTTTAAACAAAAGAAATATATGAGTTCAGAAAGACAAAAAGGAAGACACTTGTTCAAAAGTAGCTCCAAGAATGTAGATTGCCAGAATGCTTAGAATTTTAATTAGTGTGCTGCAAATGAAATTTTTCTTTCTTTCTCTGAAGACATCCAATTGCAGAATCTCAAAACTTATTTCATGTCAAAGTTTTGAGATCTGAAAAGTCTGCAACTTCACACTTGCATATTCTTCTAGTACTATTAGCCAAAAGAACCATGACCTAGTGTGACTATGTAACAGAATTTTTCACACATTGTGTGAGGAGCTTGAAGGACAGTGGTAAGGAGAATAATTGAAATATTACAACACATATCACCACTCAAGATTAATAAGATTCATCAAGAAATAGAAGAAAGAAGAAAAAAAAAGCGTAGAATTCTTTGTATACTCTTCCATGATGACCTAAGAAGCTCATAAATGAATGTCCTCTAATCCATCAGAGAAATTATTTTTTCAGAAATCTGTACTAATAATTTTCTGAATAAAAGCAAACCAGCCAGATTTTAGTAAGGTTTTTGATGCTGTTTCCATTTATACTGATTCTGCTTCTATGACATATATGCATGGATAAATAGAAAGACAGGAAAAACTACGGGGACACAGTAAAAACATGTTAGAAATATCTTTATGCAAGTTGCTAATTAATTTGGTAGTTTTGGTTACTGAATGTTGATTTTTATTTTTTTTTTTTCACTTTAAGTAATGATCTTTAAGTCCATTCTTCAGCCAATTTGACTGAAGATGAAGAGCTAGCTGTTCAGTACCATACTGTCAAGGAGAATGCCCTGATACGCATCTCTGTTGAATCTAAAGTTCAGTCATATTCAATTACTGAAACCGCTAGTAGTGTAGAACTGTGTGTTTCGTGCAAGACAGTCAAACAACAGTGTTAAAGAGAAGATAATTAATAGACATGTAAAAAACATGCTACCATTCTGTTCTTTATAGAAAGTGGTTTCTGTAGATTCACTGGCAAATAAAAAAAATCAAGTCTGTGGTTGGTGGTTTGCATTTTGTCTCTGATGCAGTCTGAAGCTGTTACAGCACTCACAGATGAGCTTGAAAATAATCCCCTTTTTTGTTTATGCCTAGCTTACTAAGATTTTGCATTTTCTCTTGGGTGAATTGTAGTTTGTAAGGAAAAAGAAGTTAATTTAATTCTACTCTCCTATTTTTGTTGCACTGTTTTGTAACTACTGTTTCGCTACTGTCAATTTATTTTCCAGTTTTTAAGACCTAAGGCTAGTGTATTAAATGGTATTTGTTAGCAAGAGATCTATATTCATTGCATTGCAAAGAAAAGAGATTTTACAATACCCTGTGTTAAGACTACCAAAGATTGCTTTCTAGTCCTTATCTACACTAAAGTATTTTTTTGTCCTGAATATCGCATAAATCAGTGACTCTCAAGCTCTTTGCCAGTTTTGTTGCACACGTTGTGAACCCGCTTGAAATTTGGAGCGCAGACATTTGGTTTTTTTGATTGCTCTGTGTATAAGTTACATTTTTTCTTTTGGGTTAAGAGGTCTGTCATGAAGTGCAAGTTTCCCAGGCTATCTCCTAAGTCCTCACACATAGA